CATAGGATGTTCCAAAAGAAGCCAAACTGGAATACGTGCAACGTCATGTAGGCAGTAGCCGATCAGTGTTGTGTGCATGTGTCTGGTTTTTCTTTTTTTTCTTTTTTTTAAGAATGCTTCTATGTAATTTTTGAGGACAAGTGTAATTTAGATTTATCTACATTTGTGTTTGAGAGAAAATATATACATAACATTACAATTGTGGTCATTATTGTAGTAACAGTAAAGAAATACAGTCTAACTCAGTCATTCTGCTTAACAGAATTGATTTACATGCAATTAATTTATAAAACAAATGCACGGTTTGATTAAAAAAAACAGAGTAGGGTTTTTTTGTGGCTGCTACAGGTTTGGAAAACTGTTTATTTCTTTATGTATTTTTGAATAGTTATTGACGCGTTGCCCATGGTGCATTGTGTGTATGCAAACTTATTTAATGGACAGTTGCAATATTTTTTTCCTTTCAAGGGCAGCATGCTGTATATCTAATATTTATATGAAATAACGAAGCCATTTATCTAGAAGTGTATTTTCCAGGGGTTGGGGGTAGGGCTCCATAATTTGCAGCTATTTAAAGCCTTGGTTTTGGTAATGAATTATTTTGTCATCTCGGCTGTGATGAGATTCATCTTTAATAACTGTAACAATTATTTTATTAAAAAGAGAAGCCATGCATTATGGCTATCTCGCCAAGGTCTCAAGCTGGAAGGAATTCTCATTAAGAGCATTATATTACCCCGGTGTGCTTTCAGTTGGATGTCCCGCTGAAATTACATTAGGTGTCAACAATGTTTGTGTTAGAAGTAAGCAGTCATATTTACAGAGGCTAGCTTTTTTCATTTGCTGCCTGACACTGGGAGATGTATTAAAAAAGATACTAATGCTCCATATCTGATTAAGTCACGTACAGTGAAACTCCTTTAAAGTGTTGACTTTTAATATAAAGCAAGCACTGTTCTGTCATCAGCAAAGACGTAAATCTTTATTCAGAACTTTTGATTGCTTGAGCTTTTTTATTTATTAATTTTTTTGTGATTTATTTAGCTGGCACACACGACTGTAATCACCCCTCATTCCCTCCATTTATAGCTCCCAAACTATAAGCATCAGGTTGTTTGTGTCATGATTGATTTATCAGTGATTTTCATCTACATCCTGTGTTCCTTCTGATGGTTAGCGTGGTGTGCAACATTGTATTTTGTTAATGGTCCCAGGCCCAGGGTTGCTGCTAATGACATGGTTGTAATTGTTTGTCAGTGTGATAATGTGTGATTTCCTATTTCCATGTGAAGTTGGACATTTGATGAAGGAGGGATCTTGTCAGGAAGACAAAGTGCTGTCATTTGTCACCAGCTAAATGAGCTTCTCACCAGACATCCTCTCAGTTTTCAATGGCAATATCATATTCACGGATCCCCTTTTGGGCCATTGCCATGATTTCCACATTATCCAGTGCATGGTATTAAAGAAATGAATTTAGCTTGTTCTGGCTTCCTTCAACACGAAGCACAGAAATCCAGATGAAGGCAGAGATGTATTAAAATCACCTGATTTTGATGCAAAGGTCAGACACTGTAAAACTGAGATTTGAACTAAATCAACTATGAGAAACATGGTTTCGCTCTCTTAGTTTGTGCTCTTTGCTGACATATAGAAATATGTTAACTGTATTTCCAGAAAGACAGAAGTGAAATTACCGAGTTTGGTAATCTTTTATTCTTAGTGTTTGCAAGCAGTCATCACTTCCTTAAATTTAACATTTTTAAATGGAGAAACGGTTTCATCATCTTCACAGGAAAGACTTTGTCAGTTCATGTCACCGTGTACCTTTTTTCAGGGGCAAAATATAGAGTCAAGTTAAGTTGAATAAATATGATTTTTGATTTGGGAAAATGAAAGTTGGAAGTTTGCTGTTGCTGCCGTGCTAAACATTATTTTTACAGAAATTTGGATCATTTCTTATAGTTGCCAATTGATTAAAAATAGCCGCGAGTGATGCATGAACTGGGTTTGGGTGGTGAAATGGGGCATGCCAGAAAAAGTTGGGGTCAGTAGTTGTCGTAGAACATGAACATGACAACTTTCATTGTTTGCCTGAACATTGTATATTTGTCCGTTTCACATCTCCTGTAACATTAGAAACTTATGGGGCACATGATTACAGCACTTGAAGGTCTTTGAAGTAGTTGTTCCCTTAACACACTGCCTTTGTTTCTGATTCAGCTTGTTCCATATTGTGGGGTTGGGGGGCAGATTCTTCCTAGTTAACAATCTAATGAGCCAAACAAGACAAACAAAAGAGAGGTGCACCGAATAGGCCTCCTGAGGTCGGGGGAGCTGCCTCATGTCACAAATGCTCTTCTGTCTTCCTTTTCCACTCAATATCGATTCATGTCTTCAGTGGTTATGCGCTGTCCGCTGTACACGGGTGGTGTAATCAGCTAAATGTAGCCTCTGCTTTCTTATTATTACCTGGGTGCTTAACACTGGTGGGGTTTTTTTTCTCTTCAAGGACAAATGGTGTAGGAGAAGGCAGATCCCGTGTGAAGTCCCTGAGCCCTCGCCGAGCGGCAGATCTCTTTTCAGCGCCAGCTGTTCTCTCAGATACACCAGGCCGTGCTGAAATTCTCTTAATATAATTCTAGGGGCTCAGGAGAATAGTGCAAAACAAGCGTGCCAACGAGGAGAACGTTGAATTTTTCATCAGCGGGCTTCAACTAGCTGAGTTAGTGGGCAGCGCTCTCATTCATGAGCAGATGTTCAGTGCAGTTACACTCTGCAGTTAATGTGAACTTACTGGCCTCTCTGCCATTGGCTGCAAGGACGTTGGCAGCAATCTGGCATCTGAGAATTACTCCCAGTAAAAGGCGCAGTCCTGGAAAGCGTTGCCCCGGCCTTTTTTAGCCACTTCCTAGCCCAGGAGCTGGATTGTGGACAGGGGAAGGCACTGACAGCTCATCCGTCTTCAGTCCGACAGTGATGAAACACTCGCCACTGTTTGCCGGGGGAATAGCACTGAAATTCCTGCAGATAATTTTCACATTTTACGTTCACTTCTAGTGACTGGATAGATGTGAACCAACGCCACTCAGCAGGTGAAATATATTTCAGGTGTGTCTGAAAAAGAAGTACTTAAAGATACCTGCCTCAGTTGTTACAGTGAAAGAGTACATACAGATGTATTATTCCAGTACCCCTGAAAGAGGAAACTCAGAGAAGAGGCACCTGTAAGGGGGAGCAGTTTGGCTCTGGTACGTCTGTAGCTGTAACCAGCTGGTGCTGTGGTCAGCCTGGTGGGCTGTATCCTCTCCCAGCCTGGTGCTTCAGACATCTGCATGCCCAGGCTGCCTAGCTTGAATTTGATGTGGTCGTACAGATCTGTAATAGTTTCATCCAACTAGGCAAAAGGCTGTTTGACTGGTGTGTGTGTGTGTGTGTGTATGCGACATCAAATTTAGTAGGTGGCATGCCAATCATCTCGAGCTTGTGTGAAAGTCATCACAGTAAAGTTGTGCATATGGGACTTAAACAGTGCAAATGACAAGCTCTTGTTTCTCTGCATGTCTCATTTTCACTTTCTAATTGGTCGTTTTCAGGTTGGCTTTACGAGAGCAAAACTAATTAGTGTTTCTAAATTCAGCAGAAAAAAAGGCAGTTGGGTTGATTGTTCTGGTTTCCTCTCCTGTGTCAGGCGCTCAACAAGAAAATAAGACTAATCATTTTCAAATTGCTCGTATTTTTAAACCCCAGAGCTGAATGTCATTCCTGGTCTCTTGGCATTTTGTTTGGCAAGATCAGGGAACCGTGGTTGCCCTCTCGCCTGTGTGCTGTCTTTGTGATTCGTGGGAAGTTTGGACTTGGGGCCAGTGGAAAAAAACAATGTGTTGTGTTTTAGGTGGGGTTGTTTCTGCTTTGATTGGGAATGTCCTGCTGACAGGAGCAGCCTCGCAAGTTTACAGTAGCTGTGACATTGGCGTTACCTTTATTCAAAGTCCTCCAGCTGCATTGAGCCCTCAGGAAGCCCAGCGCAGGCCCACATGGGCGGCTGACGGCCCAGAGAGAGGAGAATGAGCCCTGTTTGAGTTGGCAGACGCTCCCCTCTTGGGGAACTTTTGCTGCCTTTGCAGAAAGGCCAGTGGCGGCAGCTCTGGCGGGGCGGCGGTGATTCTTGGGGCAGGATGGGCTTTTTCCACCTCTCCTCCCATTCAGGAAACACATTTCGCCGTCTCTTCCCTGCGTGTTTGCAAACGGAGGGAAAGAGTTAAGGCGAAGGGGCATGGGGCAGTAGAGCTGAATGACAGAGCACGGCTGTAAGAGGCTGAGTGCTAATGTGTGGCAATTTGAAAAGGGCGAACAAGCTATTTCAGAAAGCACGAGTGTTGTGAGAAGTCAGTGCAGTGGAGCTTTATTTATACCGAACAAAAACATTTACATTTTAGTGTTCTGTAAAACATGCTCTATTTTTATTTTTCCACCGCCACTGCGGGGATTCATTCTTCAGAAGGCAGTAATTAAAACGCGGTTGATCTTAGGTTAGGGAGGAGGAGTGCTTAAATGCAATTAGAGCAATGTTCAAATTAATTTGGACTCAGTTACAGTTGTTGGAATTTGTCATTATTTGTTTAATCAAGGGAGTTCTTGTTTGAGAGACTAAATCTAGATCCACTGATATGTAAACGGGCCACTGAGAAGCCTGTTCAAACCTATTATCTGCCTGACATGAATATTAATTTGAAAGTGACCTTTTTTGTGACCTTTCAGTTTTGAACTCACACTTAACTGAGAGGTGCATGTGGTTGCGTGTTGTGACAGCATGGTTATTATTGAAAAAGCTGATTGTGGAAAAATAAGTATGTTCTTGCTTTTGTCACCTTCACGTTTGAAATAATTTCCACTGTTTCTCTTCTTTTTTCCATTCTGCCACCCCCACCCCTTAACTTTCCTTTACTACCTCCTCTCTTCTTCTCTCCTCCCCTTCTGCTGACTGCTTGCCGATCCAGCCAGGACACTCCAGTGGTGACATCCTGTGGAGCCATAGATTAAAGTAAGTACCTCACAGAAACATCAGTAGACACCAGCATTTGGTTAAGAAACACGACTCGTGCACCAGCTTTTGGTGCATTCTTCCTAATGTCTTCTCAAAGAAGGGCATTATATGGTAATAGTTGTGAGTTTGAATGCCACAGGATGATAAGAAAGGTTTTGCATAGTAACCGATTTCCTCTTTTCCTGATGCAGTTGCATGTTGACATGAGTTTGAATGCTTAAATGCGTGCAAGGGGCCAGGTCAGTGAGTCGTGCTGGTGTTCAGAGTTAACTGTGAACCTGAAAAGTAAAGAAAATTGCAGATAGTGTGCTGGCTCATGTCTGCATCCCCAGACTATCCTAGAAGTCATTACTCCTTGTGTGGTGTATAAACACGTCAAAAACAAACAATGACCCTGGGCAGACTCCACACTGCAAAACAATTTCAAAGCCTGCAGTGTAGTGTAAACACAAAACATGGCTAACCTTCACGCAGGGAAGACTTCACCTTAAACCCGGTGTTTGTTTTATAGTCCCTGTCGACCTTGGTCAGATATAGTTTACATCTCTTTGGTTCTTTCAGGTCGATGTAGCTCGGGTTCTGTGCTGACATTTACGGTTGAAGCTTTTCAGTAAACAACATGTGGCTCGGAAACAGACTATTAATGGAGATCTTATTAGTCAGGTGTTCACATTAAAAAAAGATAGAGATGAACTTTGCTCACAGTGGTGATTGTGACATGACTGATATTCAGTGTTGTTGTAAACCAAGTGTAAACACTGCCTCGCGGGGTGTAGATTTCCCATACAGACACTCTATGTATCGAGCAATGAATATTCATTTTCTCCTCTCGTAGACTCTTCTGCCTCTGTGAGCTCTTTCACACTGAGCCGGGGGTGACTGTAAGGCGAGGTGAACCCATATTTTTAATAAAGCCCAGCTGCTGAATGATCAAATAGAGTCTCTAATTAAAGCCTGAGTGTACACCCATGTAAAATTCTCTCTGGAATGCTAACAACCTGTGATATTTCCAGAGGAATTTGCTGTGAAGGTCTCAGAGAAGGAAAGGGATTCAAGTGTTTGGGGTTCAGAGGGAGGAGGGGCAGTGTTCGTGTGGCAAGGCAACATGTTGTTCACATCCGTGTCAGATTGAGGCTAATGAAGGCCAGGCTGATCCTTGGATGCAAGCCTTAAGTAAATGATCCCTCTTTGAATATATTAGCGCTCCGTAGCAGCGTTGTGCCTCCCTGCCGTGCCAGCGCTGCTACGTGTTGTCTCGTGGTCTGACGAGGCCAGTCGAAATGGCAGTCACGGTGTTCGATCACGCCGTGTGCCGTTGAGTGTGATTTCAGTTTGTTTTACAGCAGTGATGTTACATTGACTTGGTGGTGAGGAAGTACTCTGGCTGATCATTTCCAGGTTAGTGTGTCTGCAAAACAGTTTGATAGTAAATGGAAAGTATGAGTGTTGTGTCATTTGGCAATGTAAATGAGCCATCTCAAATTTTTCCCCACCCTCTTAAGAGGGATTGCATTTACATAGCAGGCAAGGGTTTGATACTCAAGCAGATGGTTCGTGTAGACAAAAGCTGAATTTACTGTTATTTTTAGTGTAGTTTTGAATTTAGTCATTTCTATTCATTTTTGTCTTTTTCGATTAATTTGTTCGACAATAATCGGGAAAAAAAACACAGTTTTAAATTCAGTGAACAAACATTGCTATCAGAACTGTTTCCACTGCAATTTATGGTCACAGCAGCACTTAACATGGAAATGAATCCTAAGCTAGTAATTATAAAGCACTTTGGATTATTAATTGGAAAGACAAGGACATAGAAATGAAACAATTGTGAATGCACCCCTTCTAAGCTGCTGTAGCATCTCATTAATAAATACCTTTCTGGTTCTTTAGTGCTGTGCCCGCCTTGCTGATTGAAACAATGTCATTTGATTTTCGCTGATAAAGCATCTGTGCTTCATAGATGGATGGATTGGATGGATCCAATTAGCCATAGTCATCGCTCATGTATTTAAGCTGACAGTGGAAGTCTTGCGTAGAATATCCTTGATTTTGGTAGTTTTGTGAGGCGCTCATGCAGAGTACTTTGAAAGCCCATAAAGAGCGGACTGTGAAGAATGCTCCCTTGATGCAGCTTTGATTTACAGCAAATTTTTTCAATTAGACGTGGGAGGGAAGTAATTGATTTTCAGTAGGTAGTGTACAATGATTGGAAATTCTTAAAGGATGAGAAAGTGACCAAGATCCATAACTTTTTTCCTTTCACTGTGTATTATATACAATCAGCGCCGCAATTACTTGGGGCTTTTACTTAACATTTCATACAGGTTTTATTAGTAGGTAATGCATCTTTTTATACAGAGCACTCACATTCTACAACCTACACATTTACAGCAGGTTATGAGGATTGATGGCTTGTAGTAGCAGCTGCACAGGTGCACCTAGTGTCTCATAAGGCATTCTGACCTTCTGCACAGCACATACCATGCTGGCCTGTTTGTAAACGCTAGCCCTGTTTGTAAACACGAACAGAGAGATGAGAAGCAGATTTGCCCCGGTCGCGCTCACAAGACAGGCACAACACAACGTGACAAGCAACAGATGTGTCACACAGGCTGAAATCAAAACAGCCGTCCAGCATGGAGTTGTGCACACCATCAGACATGGATGCTGTGATGAGGCGGGGAGGCAGCGAGCACTGCTGGCAGATGAGACAAGGCAGCGCCTCTGCTGCTCCCAGCTTCCTGTCTAGAAGAGGACAGGCCTGTTTGTAGGCTGCTTTGACACTCCTAGTCACTTTGTCATCTGGGGTGCTCACTGCAGCTCTGATCACATGTACACATTGCATTCAAAGAGCGTCATATCAGCCGTGTGACAGGTAGGCTCCCAATGAGACAACAGCCAAAGGGGATGTCCTTTTCAATACACTGTGTGAGCACAAACGCACAGTGCGCCAAGGCAAAATAACATCATATGACATCATTCGGAATGCTCTTATGCTGTCTTCTCTGTTTGGAAAGATGGTGCGGGTTTGGTTCTGCCCTGCCTAATAACAGAAAGGTCTTTATGGAGATGCATGTCCACTCCGTGCAAACCGACAGTTTGACAGCAGCAGTAAAAGTGCAGCTTCACACAGGCAGCACACTAATAATATTCTATCATATAATCTGCCTTTTGCCACTGCCCCATAAGCAAACAACACGGCTTCACTTTGAGCCATGGGAAGAGAAACAGGAATCCGTCATCAGAACAAGTGCATGAATGAAGGTGCGGCAATAGCTGCTTGACTGAGCACATACAACAGACTGTCACCCCACATCTGTTTACCACTTTGACAACCACATGAGTGTTTATATCCATGAGTGTAATTGAGCTATTTTCCCGAGGGCAGCTGTAACCCACACTAAGTTATAGCCCAACTTTCCATTAAAGCGTGGGGGGAAGTTTTACTGATAGCAATCACGCTCAGCAACACTGCTATGTAAATACGGCTTATCAGCTTTGCCAATTTGGTTAAGTGACACGTACGTGGGTGATTCAAACATCTAGCTCTGGCTGTGACACTGGCCACATACTGGAGACATTTAATAAACATTGGTAACTTGCATTATTAACAAGTATATATGCAGCAAGAACATAATAATGAAAATGATGGCATGTCAAACCAATATTGTGCGGAAAAGATGCAAATAAACTGAAAAAATATTCAGGCTGCCATGTGGTCAAACTTAACTGTCTGCATGCAGCATGTACAGTATATGGAAATTGAAATGGGAATATCTAGATCTAAAACGTGCCATTTAAATATTCAAATGTTAACACCAAACAATATAATGCATTATGGCTTTTAGTATTTGCATACAACTCTGTTTGCTGCTGTAAGCTGGGGGTAATACAAGGAAGAGAGAGGGAGAAAGATAGTGAGGGAGAAACACTGAGCGGATATGGAGCACACAAACAAAGCCTTTGTGTGCCAGTAATAGGAAAATGACATTTGATTACTGTGTGAATTTTTATGGTAGCTTAATTTAACAGTTAATGGTTATTTTGTATATCTTTAAGTCTTTACTGTTTTAGGGAAACTACAACTTCCATCACACACTGAACCTGTGCTAATTTGTAGATGGCTCTGTCTTGATGCATGCTCAGTCATCCAGGTAAGTAAATCCCAAAAGGTTGATTCTGTTCATCTGGACGTAACGTTTTCAGTGGGAGAAACGTTTCGTCACTCACAACAATGGGCTGTGACCTCACAGTTCCCCATTGTTCAGTCTGTGGTGCTAGTTTCAGGCACTGTTTGTAAGGTTGGGGAAACCTGCAGTCAGCTGAGACTGAAGAAGTCACTTGGACGAGTGACGAAACGTTTCTCCCACCGAAAACGTTACGTCCAGATGAACAGAATCAACCTTTTGGGATGTAGACGGATATTTTTTAAAACAATGTAAATCAGACGTTAGCTGAAACTACCATTTATTCTTGTTTGATGGAGGTCATGTTGATACATGTTTTTTCTATACTTTCCATTTTTGTAAAATGTATTCCCAGTTGCAGCGTCTCATTTTCAAGTGAAGTTCATTCAAGATGTTCAGAATTTGGCCATTATTGAAAAGCTATTGCACCTGGTAAGGTTGGGGAAAATGTTAAAATTATCTGTACTGTCTTGGTTTGCAAGTTAATCATTTCCCAAATTGAATTCACATAGGGGCAGGCCAGTAAGCGAGGTCAACCACTCACTGACAGCCAATATATTTGTCCAGTCGCCTTGCCCAAACACAGGAGAAGTGCTTCTGTAAAGGTAGAAACCTTTAGCTCTTGAGAACTGTGTCAGATTTATTTATTTCCTTGTTCTTAATCATTCATTTACAGTTACAAATAAACTGCTGTATTTGTTACTGAAGAAAACGCTTGTTTAAGGAAATGAATGTATTTATTTATTGTAGCACCTGTGACTTGCTAGGTGGCAGGATCAGATATCACATAGCTACAGACAAATGAAGCAG